GGTTAGATTTTTTTAAAAAATATATTAGTTTTTATTTAAAACAAATAATCCATCTTCCACTTAAACAGTGTGTCATCTAGGTACAAATAGCTTATGCAATAACAAATACAATTACACCTATTCATTGTATTGGTATTGAGTCTCTATTCTTACTCAATACTGATATACATAATATGTCTAATTATTATAAGAATCTTTATCATCACGTATTTAATTCTCTCAGCATGTTTTCTATTTTTCATGGATCTTTTTAAATTTATAATTCCCATATTTATTCTCAAGCCATCGATAGAAAGATTCCCGTATCAAACAGTATTCGGTTTGTTCCTTCTCTTTAATTACAAGGGTTAATCTATTCATTCCTGCACATTCTCATATTTTCCCGACCACCTTCTCATCAGTCGGAATCTCTTCACTTTCCCAGTTTTGTGCAAGTACAATTGATGGTGGAGATAAAAATAAGATTAGACTTGAGTTTACATCAAATAATGAGACCTTTAAACATACACACACATACATACATGACTTTTAAACATACACACTTAAAGACACATATATGTTATATATAAAACAGCCCTAGCTTATTATTATTGTTTCCTAGTATGTTTTATATGTTCCCTATATATACATGTTTCCTAGTATGATTTATAGTACCCTATGACTACTTCTAAGTGTTATATCTATGATTCTTGACATATGTATCTTGAGAGCATAGGCACCAAAACAAATTCCTTGTGTGTCCAATCATACTTGGCCAATAAAGAATCCTATTCTATTCCATGGGTCTCCAACCTTGGCAACTTAAAACTTTGGGAGTTGAAGTCTATAAGTCATAAAGTTGCCAAGGTTGGAGACCCCTGCAACTATTCCACGAGAAAACAACTCCCAAACCACACAAGATCCAACATTTGCATGTTAGGTTATTTTAAGACCCCTCTCCCTATATTCCTGTATGTGGGCAACCAGGCAGCCCTTTTCAGCCCTGCTTCCAAAGGTCAGAAGCTTCCGAGATGTTGCTTCCTTACTGAGCCAGGCCTGGAGTCACCACCTTTGTTGACAGTGCAGAGTTTATAATGAGATGTTAGGGAGGCTATAAAAAACAACAACAGCCAGCATAGCTTTCTGAGCTGAGACAGAGGATTAGAGGCTGTGCCTGGGATGGATGGGGATGGGGTGAAGAGTTGGAAGGGACCTTGTAGGTCATCTAGTCCAACCCCCTGTCCAAGAGGGAGACCCTACACCATTTCTGACAAATGGCAGTCCAGTCTCTTCTTGAAAGTCTCAAGTGATTGCGCTCCCACAACTTTCAAGGGCAACGTCTGTTCCTTTGGTGGATTGTTCTGTCAGAAAATGTCTCCTTATTTCCAGGTTGAATCTCTCCTTCATCAGTGTCTATCCATTATTCCTTGTCTGGCCTTTGGGTGCTTTGGAAAATAGCTTGACTCCTTCCTCCTCTCTGTGGCAGCCCCTCAAATATTGGAAGACTGCTGTCATGTCTCCCCTAGTCCTTCTCTTCCCTAGACTAGCTAAGCCCAGTTCCTGCAACCGTTCTTCATATGTTTTAGTCTCCAGTCCCCACATCATCCTGGTTGCTCTTCTCTGCACTCTTTCTAGAGTCTCAACATCTTTTTTATAGTGTGGTGACCAAAACTGGATGCAGTACTCTAGGCGTGGCCTTACTAAGGCTTTACAGAGTGGTATTAGTACCTCCCTTGGTCTCAGCCAGCTGGCTGAGGAACTCTGGGAGTTGAAGTCCACAAGTCTTAAAGTTGCCAAGGTTGGAGACCCCTGTTCTAGAGAGCAACAGCAATTTTTCTCCCAAGTCTCCCCTTACTTCAGTATCATTTCTCACCCACCCCTCATCTCCCATTGTAACTCTGTCCAAACAAAAGGAAAACTCCAATTGTTGCTACTCACAGATTTAACTTGCCCAACGAATCCATTCTAAAAGGTTGCACAAGACAGCAAACTGACTAAATGGGCTGGATTCATGCTACGCGATAAGCCAGAAACTAACCAACATTAAAATCCGCCCAAATAAATACGATACATGAATACTGCAATTAGGTTTGCAACAAAACTGGTTCATACATGTTATGTGAACACATCCTTTCTGACTCTCGAACAGAGGTCTGCAACCTTGGCAACTTTAAACCTTGTGGACTTCCAGCTATACTGGCTGGAGAATTGTGGGAGTTGAAGTCCACAGGTCTTAAAGTTGCCAAGTTTGGGTACCCCTGGACTAGAAAATGGAGTTCAAGGGATTTTAAGGCCAGGGTTTCTGTTCTCCATGCTGAACTCCACCAGTTGCTGATTTTATTTTTGTTAACTTTGGTTCCACCTGCCTAAACGGGGAATCGAACGCCTTCCGTCACGAGGTGGTTGTGAACTGGAATAGCTGTGGCTATTGGTGTGTGCATGAGCCCCAAGCTTCTGCAAACAGATTGCAAGGATGTGCGTGGAAGTCAGAGACATCTCAAACTGCAACACAGCAATGAGTTTTGGAGCAACCTGGAATGCTGTCTGTTCTCACAGAGTGTGTGACCTGATGCGTCTATACTTACTCTAGAGTAATTCCCTGTGAGATTTGTTTGGTGGGAGAAGTGGATTTCATTTGGGGCCATGAAGTGTGTCTTCACCTCTGCTTCAAAGGTAGAAATAAAGTTTTATCCCATCCTGAGTGGGATCCCCCATAATATCACTCACTCATTCTCTATTTGCCCCCGTCTAGAAACTGTTTTCAACTCTCCTAGTCTAAGGTACAGCCCTGGGATTTCCTGGTGGTCCACAATCCCAATAACAACCAGTTGGACTCTTTTCTGATCAGCACAGCTTGCTAGCTAAAGAAGCTGAACTGGTCATTTCTTCTTCCAGCCTGAATCACCTCGCAAGGTTGTTGTGAGCATCAAAAGAGGAAACCCCGAACTGAATGTCCGGGGAAAGAAAGGCCAGTGACAAGGAGCCAAACAAAAGGGGGGGGTTTCCTCAAAATTCCTGCCTTGACTTCTCAAAACCCCACTTCTGCAGGGCTCGGGACCAGGCTGGTACTCTTGAGAACATCTGGCAAAACGAGGCAGAAGAAGGAGGAATGGATGGAAAGGAATCGAGGAGAGAAACAACCCAAGGAGAAATTTCCTGATAGTGGGAACCATTAACCAGTGGACCAGCTTGCCTCCAGAAGTTGTGGGGGCTCCACCACGGAAGGTTTCCCAGAAGAGACTAGACCAGGGGTCTCCAACCTTGGCCGCTTGAAGCCTGGAGGACTTCAACTCCCAGCAAAGCTGGGTGGGGAATTCTGGGAGTTGAAGTCCTCCAGGCTTCAAGTGGCCAATGTTGGAGACCCCTGGATTAGACAGCCCCTTTATGTGGAACAATATAGGGCCAGGGTCTCCAACCTTGGCCACTTTAAGCCTGGGGGAGCTTTAATTCCCAGACCTCCCCAGAAATTCTCGGAGTTGAAGCCCGCCAGGCTTCAAGTGGCCAAGGTTGGAGACTGCTGGACTAAAAGACCTCCAGGGCCCCTTCCGGCTCTGCTCTTCCATTCATTCCCAGTGCCAGGGCTTCCCTCCAAGAAGCCATGGCATCTGAGCAGGGGGTTGGACTAGAAGACCTTCCAACTCTGTTCTTCCGTTCATTCCCAGTGCTCCCCGCCAAGAAGCCACGGCACCTGAGCAGGGGGTTGGACTAGAAGACCTCCAGGGCCCCTTCCAGCTCTGCTCTTCCGTTCATTCCAAGCGCCAGGGCTCCCCTCCAAGAAGCCACGGCATCTGAGCAGGGGGTTGGACTAGAAGACCTCCAAGGCCCCTTCCGGCTCTGTTCTTCTGTCCATTCCCAGCGCTCCCCTCCAAGAAGCCACGGCATCTGAGCAGGGGGGGTTGGACTAGAAGACCTCCCCAGACCCCCCCTTTTTTCCCCCCCCAACTCGTCTCACGCCGGCTCCGGCTGGCCTCCCTGCCCTCCTTTCCCCGGGGGGGGGGGGGGGGGGGGGGGGAAAGGGCGCGGAGAGAACCCAGGCGGGGATCCGCGCCGTCCCCAAAGCGGCCGAGAGGCGTTTTCCTTTAAGAGGGAAGAAACCCGAGCGCTTGTTTGCGCAACCCTCCCGCGCCGCCAAAGTGTCTAGACTGGCACATGATGGGAGGGAGCCAATGACTCCGCGCTCGGCGAGGGGGGGCCCGACCCGCTCCGGGCGGGAGAACAAAAAAAAAAAAAAAGGCGGCGGCGGCGGCGGCGGTACAAGCAGCAGCAGCGGCGGCGGCAGCAGCGGGCAGGGAGCGCCGCGATCGCCCGCCTCGCTCCTCCGGGGAAGCCGCCGCCGGGCGCCCCTCCGCGCGTGGACGCCCCCCCCCCCCCCCCCCAGTGCCGCGGTGTGGCCGCCGCTCCCGGCCCGGGACGGACGGAGAGGCGATTGCGGCGGCCGAGGCAGCTATGCCGGGCTCCTCCGGCCGGCGTCCGAGCCCGGGAGGCGGCCTCTTGCGGCTGTTCCCCGGCCAAGTCCGGCCAACTTCGTAAAGCGGGGCCGAGGGAGAAGAGCGCGCCACCCACCCCCACCGACCCGGCTCCCCTTCTTCCGCCCGCCCGCCCGTCGTCGTCGTCGAGGGAGCCGAGCCGGAGAGCAGCAGGCGCCGCTTGGAGGGGGCGGCCTCCGGGGAAGGAGCCGTCGCGGGCTGGCCGGCGTCGTCTTCGTGCCGCAGAGAGAGAGAGAAAGAGGGAGAGAGGGAGCCGAGGGGGCGGGCGGCGGCCCGGGCTGCTTCCCACGCGCCGTCTGCCTTTCGGGGCTGCCGCTCTATGCCGTTGCGGCGCTTCCTGATGCGGCAGCGCGGCTGCCGACCCTCGGCGCTTGGCTGGGCCGGCCGTGCGAGGCTTTGCTCCGGCCGCCGACGCCGCGGCGGTAGCAGCAGCAGCAGCAGCCGACGCCGCCGTCGCTGGCTCCCCTCCATGCGGCGCCCGCCCGGGAGGGTCTGACCCGGAGTCAGGCGAAGGGCACAGCCCGGCCGAAGCGCATGTTCCGGTCCAAACGGGCAGGGCTTGTGCGGCGCCTTTGGAGAAGCCGGCTCCTCCCCGACGGTGGTGGCGGCGGCGGAGGAGATGCGGGCAAGAGCAGCAGCCTCCTCGGGCAGAGCCAGGAGCCCGGGAGCGGGAGCGAGGCCAGGCGGCCGGGGACCTGCGGAGGCGCCGTCGAGGAGCCGGCGGCGGGATCCACGGTGCGCGGCGACGGCAGCGGCGGCGGCGACCTCCTGGCGGCGGAGGAGGCGGCCGAGGCAGCGGCGCAGGAGGCGGAGAAGGAAGCCGGCGGGTGGGCTCCGGAGAGCGAGGCCCAGACGGTCGGCTGCTGCCTCTTCAAGGAGCGGCCCTTGGACGGCGCCTCCTGCCTCGACGGCCGCTCCCGCCTGACTGCGGCGCCGCCGCCGCCGCCGCTGGAGCAGGAGCTGAAGAGCCTCACCTACTCGCTCCTCAAGCGCCTCAAGGAGCGCGCCCTCGACAGCCTGCTGGAGGCCGTCGAGTCCCGCGGAGGGCTGCCCAGCGCCTGCGTCCTGGTCTCCCGGGCCGAGCTGGAGGTCAGGCTGGGCGGCCGGCCGGCCCCGCCGCAGCTGCTCCTGGGCAAACTCTTCCGCTGGCCGGACCTCCAGGGCCCCGCCGAGCTGAAGCCGCTGTGCGAGTGCCGGCGCTTCGGCCTCCCCGACGGGCCCACCGTCTGCTGCAACCCCTACCACTTCAGCCGGCTGTGCGGCTCAGGTAAGGCGGCTTTCCGGACGCGGGCCGGTGGTTGGGGGGGGGGGGAGGCCGGCGGGGGGCCCTGGGCCGCCCCCCCCGGGCCGGCCTGCACTCTCGCCCCCGTGGGAAAGGGGACGGCCGGCCGGGCACTTTAGCGAAGGTTGTGGGTCGGCCTTCCCTTTGGTGTGAAGTTGTGATGTAGCCTGGCCAGACTAAACAAACCTGGTTATATAGGAGCAGGGACCTCCGCTTTCCCAACCAGACGGGGTGGAAGAAAGCCGGACTGGACAGATTCTGCCTGGTCTTAGCCAACATCTGTGCCTAAACCAGGAATCTCCAGCCTTGGCCACTGGTTGGAAATTCCAACCTGGGGAAAGCTGGCTGGGGAATTGTGGGAGTTGAAGCCCCCCAGGCTTAAAGTGGCCAAGGTTGGAGGCCCCTGCGTTAGAGCAAAGCTGGCTGGGGAATTCTGGGAGTTGAAGTCCTCCAGGCTTCCAGTGGCCCAGGTTGGAGACCCTTGCGTTAGAGCAAAGCTGGCTGGGGAATTCTGGGAGTTGAAGTCCTCCAGGCTTCCAGTGGCCCAGATTGGAGACCCCTGCGTTAGAGCAAAGCTGGCTGGGGAATTCTGGGAGTTGAAGTCCTCCAGGCTTCCAGTGGCCCAGATTGGAGACCCCTGCGTTAGAGCAAAGCTGGCTGGGGAATTCTGGGAGTTGAAGTCCTCCAGGCTTCCAGTGGCCCAGATTGGAGACCCCTGCGTTAGAGCAAAGCTGGCTGGGGAATTCTGGGAGTTGAAGTCCTCCAGGCTTCCAGTGGCCCAGATTGGAGACCCCTGCGTTAGAGCAAAGCTGGCTGGGGAATTCTGGGAGTTGAAGTCCTCCAGGCTTCCAGTGGCCCAGATTGGAGACCCCTGCGTTAGAGCAAAGCTGGCTGGGGAATTCTGGGAGTTGAAGTCCTCCAGGCTTCCAGTGGCCCAGGTTGGAGACCCTTACTCCAATGTGAGTTGGAGTCCTTCCATGCTGGCCCTGAAAAAAGTTGGGACTCCCACCAAAAGCCATTTGGAAATTACAGGTTGGGACAATGAAACCTCTGGAGACGGAGCTGCTGATGGGCCTGTCTGTTGGGCCACAGTCCCCCCCCCTCCATTCTTTGTGCCATTTAAAACCCCTCCCCCCTTTTTTCGGCTCCGGGCTGGCTCCCAAGCAGAAGGGGACTTCTGGGGGAGGGGAGAGGATGAGGCCTGGAAACAAATGTCTCCCTCACCTCCTCTTGCACTCTGAACCAGGAGGACACCCTCCCCCCCCCCCCCAATACCCCCCCCCCTCCCTTGCTTCCAGTCCCGCTCACCTTGGGAATGCAGACCCCAACAGGTCTGGACAGGCGGAAGATTCTGCAGTCCTGCCTTGAGGGCCCCCCCCCAAGTACGTGAGGGGTGGGCGGGATTTGCCACCATGTGATTTCCATCTCAGGAGGAGAAGTGGGGCTCTTTGAGCAGTGCTGGAGCCCTTCTTCCTAAAGAGCCCGCTGAGGATTTCATTGTGTTTTGAAAGTTTGATCCAGGTGCCTCTTTCGAGGTCCTTGCCTATGTCTTCATAACCTAAAAGCATTTGCAGGCGGCTCTTCTTCTGCTTCTTCACACCGTAGTTCTTGTGGGGTTTGGCAGCTTCCTTTCTTTCTGCACTCTTTCTTCAGCTGGAAATGGGAAGCTTAAATTCACGGTGGAAATGAGGAGTTATGGTTGCTGGCAAGCGGCCTTTAAGAAGAGTCGTTTTGGAAGCCTCTTGTAAAGACGGGGTGACCTACTTTTCTTATCCTCTCCAATTCCCTTTCAAAAGAGGATCTTGGGAGGCAAATGTCTTCAAGAAAACATTTGCCATATCAGCCCGGCCTGGGGTGGTGCACCATCTGCGTCCTTAGCTCAATTTTGCACTGACCCAAGACTTTTTCATCCGTGCTGGAACATCTAGTAGTGCCTTGGATGGGTGAATTTCCGTCCTTCCCTGGAGGCACAGAACTTCTCCTTTGTAAACACTGAGCGATGCTGGAAGCATTCAACCCCATACAGTTTGTCTGCTCTCATCTTCTGGTACCATAGGTTGCACTATACACAGAGTTTCATGCCCTTGTTGGAGTCTGATTCTGAGGGGGAGGTCGAGCAGCTGACAAGGGAGAGGGAGTGTGGCTCCGGTGGCTGTGGAAGAAACTGGGGAAGGGCAAAGTCCAGCTGGGCATTCAGAGGAAGACCCAGGCCCATCCCCTCTTCATCCTAGGGCATGCAAGGAGGAACAGAGAAGGGAGGAACATGAGTTGCATGGCTTGCCGGGGAGGAAAGGGCCCTGATCCCTTTCACTAGTTGCAGCTGGGAGAACAGTGGGGCGTTTGCACACAGCACCTTGCTGGAAGCAAAGCCTGCATTATCTTGGTCGAGGCTTATCTGAGTTTTGGCATCCTCCCAACTGTGGCTGCTTGTGTTATCCTTTGAAAGTCTGCAATTTATCATCCTGGCCTGCCGTGTTAATTTCTTCAGTGAGGTTTCTGTTGGGATTTTTTTTATTTCTAATTATCTTTACTTTGGGTTCGGTCTGCATTTCTGCCCTTCGTAGACTGTTTTTTGAAGAAGTTGTTATCCAGCCAAGGATAATTGGACATTGGGGCCAATTTGGGGGCATTCAAGGGAATTTATTCTACTTTCGTGACTTTGTTATTTTTGTGTCACGACAGTTCTTTTAATGTTTCCATTCAAAGTTACATCCTGGAGAAAAGTGACTTGTGACAGTTTTTCACACTTAATGACCATTGCAACATCCCTTATAGTCACACAATCAAAATTCAGGCGCTGATTCACATTTATGACGGTTGCAATGTCCTGGGGGTCATGTGATCCACTTTTTCAACCTTCTGAAAAGCAGAAGTCAATGCCAGATTCACTTAACGGTGTTACTAATTTAACAACCGGAGCGACTCACTTAACAAGTGTGGCAAGAACGGTTGTAAAACGGGTCAAAATTCACTTAATACCTGTCTCACTTAGCAACAGAAATTTTGGGCTCCGTTGTGGTCGTAAGTTTAGGATTGTCTACCATACTTTCTTTTAAGCAAGGTGTGTGTGTGTGTGTGTGTGTGTGTGTGTGTGTGTGTGTGTGTATGTTTTCTGAGGTTCTCGCGGGTATTTGTATGTGGATCTTTGGTTGTTCGGGTTTTCTCCCGCGTAAGATTCGAAGTATCTAGGCAACGTTTCGATGAAGTCTCATTCATCATCTTCAGGCTTCTGTCTCCGGCTCTGTGCTTCTCAGAGTAATGGAGATTGCAGCTGCTTCCTCCTTTTAACTGCCAGTGGGGGTGGGACTTGATTGGGTGGGGGCTTGGCTGTGTTCTGATTGGGTGGGGGTGTGTTCTCATTGGTAGGGGGTTTGGCTGTGTTCTGATTGGTTGGGGGGTTAGCCGTGTTCTGATTGGTTGGAGGCGTGTTCTGTTCAGGTGGGGGCTTGGTTGTGCTCAGGTTAGTCTTAGTTGCTGGGGGATTTGAGCTGGTGAGTTGTGATCTT